AAATGAGAACTCTCTGGCTCCGGAAGAAAAGTCATTAACTGGCAACATAATGGAAAATGGTAGCTGCAACATTCAATTCCAGAGAATATCACAATCTGAACACTATTTTTAAAATCATTAAGTAGGAATCTGATATTTTTACATATTCTCTAGAATTCACAGTAGATACAAAAGGTTTAGGAATAGCCCTTGGGGTATGAGGCCTTGAAAAGATTTGTGCAGTCCTAAAGAAGCACTTTAGCTCAGGATATAATGGGAAGGAAAATTCTCTGAAGCTTGAACCTTGAAATTCAGAATCTAAATAGCTTAGACAGGGGTGGAATTCTACCGGTTCAGACCGGTTCAGGCAAACCAGTAGCTTTGACCATCAGCTGAGAGCAAACCAGTTCACTCCAACTTTGAAGTGGGCTCACCTACCCCTGGGCTATACTATATTTTCTTTTCTGAAATCAGCCCAGCTGATTGGCGCAGCAGAATGGATTGCTTCATCTCAACTGTTTTCCTCGCCAGCAGTAACGTGGAAAGTGAGCTTTGTGCAAACTGTGCACGTGTGCGCAGCATGCGCTCAGCGACCAGTTGTTAAACCAGTAGGATTCCACCCGAGCTTAGACATATGAAATAAGCATATGCTCTGGATCAGGGGTGTCAAACTTGCAGCCCGCGGACACATGCATGGATGGCCGTGTGTCATATGCTGGCCATGCCCACATCCATTTTAACTAAGTGGGGGGGGGGAGTCATGATACATCGCATGATGATGTGAGTTTGACACCCCTTCTCTGGATGGTGCTTTCATTCAAAGCAAGGACAATTTCTAGGAATGGTTATCTTACAGACTGGCCTAAGATATAACACAATGGTACCAGTCCCCATTCCATTTCCAAATACCAGCTGGACTGGCAATCCTTTCTTTGGAAAAAAATTACTTAGGTGTTTCTGGAAGTGGCACATACGCTTCAGCGTCAGAATACAGTCACAGTTGCCCTCTGATTCCTCCAGCATCTTGAACTGAAACTAATTCAATCTAATTGAACCCTGTCTAATCAATACCTTGTTAATAAATAATTATCTATAGAAAATATGGCGAATAAGACATTACATGTTCTTTGCTTCAAACTTATATAGTATATCCAAGTGAGATATATTTATTTCCAAGGCAGGAAGCCTAATTTGCCAATAGCCAACTATCAATTAATCCGTAGCATGAGAAAGACAAGATAAAGGATTCATTAAGACAGAGGAAAAAGTAGGGAAAGGAATGGGTAGATTGCTACTTTTGGGGATAGAGGTATTGCATTTACATGTTGATTCAAAATTGAACTATATAAAGATGCTGCCAAGCTGAGATGGGGAATGGGACAACTTAACACAGCCAATTCACTGAAGCCAACTCACCATAGCCAACTTGCCATAGGAAAATTCACCACTGTCAACTTGCAGTGGGACAACTCAGTGTGGAACAATTTAACAATTCTATTCAATTATTTAAAATAAATAACAATTATTTTAATTTTTTCTGTTCACATTTTATTCTGTCCCTCCTTTTGCATCCTTTCTTTAATGATTCTATTCCACTATTTCATTGATAGAGCAAAGATAAGAATTAGTATCATCCACAAAGTATACACATGTAAATGCATCCAGAGAAATATTATGGTAATGTTCAGAAACTCTTAATTCTTTACGCTTATGCAGAGATGGAATGAAATTCCCTTAATGGTCTATAGATATTACAAAAGCATATGGAATATAAGTGGTTTAATTTTGAAATGATAAACTAAGTGATAAAATAGATTTCTACTACTTCTGATGAAGTTATAGATGATCAAGAAAGATTTCTGAAATCAGAACAGACTGTAGTACATTATGGCAAAAAGTTACTTATAAAAAGCCTCTTGTCTATATTCTTAATACTTGAGTATGTCCATTGTATGTCAGTCCCATCTGAGAATAGTCAGTTACAAGGGACCTAAGTAGCTATACCCCAAAACTTCTTGAAAGCTCCAATTTGCTTAAAGATCATGCAAATACCAATTTGGCTAAGTGTCATGTGAACAATCTCCAGCAAAATACTAAATCAACTGGTATCAGTGACAGACGATAAATCCTATACTCTACATAGATTGGTTTCCACAGTATATATTGTATTAAAGCAATCATTGGATTGCTTTAATACCTGAAGGATACTATAGTTTCTGAAGAATGAGCAACAAGCAGTGGTTAGATTCAAATAATTTAACAACCAGTTTTTTGCCTTAATGATTTCTCCCAACAACCAGTGCACCAAACTGCTCAGAAAGTTAACAACCGGTTATCTCAAAGTGGTGTGAACTGTCTGAATCCCACCACTGGCAACACGTCTTTCATTGTGAAGTTGTCAATTAGAAATTTATAACTAATAAACCTTGTCCTATTTTAGTACTTTGACACTTTCTGTCACATTTTCTCTATGTCCCCTTTGATATGAGGTCTCAAAATTATATTAAACTGAAGTTTCCCAACCTATACACCTTGCCTTTAACCTAGTAATATCATCTGAAAGAAATCCTTAATTGGACATCACTGCTTGATTTTACATAGCAGCACTATGAGAAAGAAGATATCAGATTCTAATGTTCAGTGAAGCAGATACTGTTAATCACTGTGTTGCTTTGAAAGTTTTATTGTAAATTCATAAAAGATCTATAACTGTAAGAAATCTTGATATAGGTCAAAGTTTTCTGAAGCTGCATTAGAATTATCAGCATGCTATGGTGCATAAAACCAAAAGATGTAGATTATTGCAAGCTCTTAATCTTTAAGTAAGAAATAGCTAAAGGTTTGTCTGCTTTTCTATGTAAATAGTCTCCAAAAACATTCCATTTTACAGCTATTTAAAAACTTCTGTAATGGCTGCCAAGGGTTATGGCAACCCTCAGCTTGACAGGCTGCTGTTGATTCAACCTGACTTGTGTGCCTCAAAGCCTGACCCTGCTGAGTCAGTTGTTCTGACTTCTTCTGGCCTGGAGATCCAGTCTCCAATACTGTATAGCTGGGTGGCTGCGACAATCAACTGTGTTGGGTTATTTGTCATGAAAAATTCATTGAAATATTATGTATGAATGTCCTGACATGGAGATTCTTCATCAAAGCAATGCTGATAATCAAAATACCCCAAAAGTTTGAATGGAAGTACGTTTTTCTTGATTTTTTTTGACATCTAACAAAAGCAATAACAACATCAATAAAGGGATCGTACAAACATCAGTTTGGTGTAGTAGTTAATGTGCTGACCTAGGAAACTGGAAACTGAGACCTACATATGACATGAAAGCCAACTGAGCGAGTCATCCTTCTTTCAGCCCAACTCACTTCATAAGGAGAAAGAGTTGCTGGAGAGAAAATAGGAGGTGGAAGGGGTATTGGTATGAGTGCCTTGAGAGTAAGGTAGATAAGAATTAGATAGATGATAGATACGTAGAGAGATGGCGAGAGAGAAAGAGAAAGAGACAGACAAACAGACAGAGATTAACTGACAGACAGATAGATATAAAATAAAATATTTTATAAAATATAAAAAATAAAGCCATGGAAATTTGAGCTTTTTAAAACCAGTAATATAAAAATCAGTATGGAAGGAAGAAAACTCAACCATAGCAACAAAAAAAGACTATTAGCTGTTAGCTTGTTTGATGTCGTGCATCACTGCATTAACACAAGTGAGTATTTTTATGAAATTACACCATAAACAGAGCTTCTAAAACTAAATAAACAGATGAAATTCAATTATCCTCTTTCCTCAACTATAGGTAAAAGTCCCACAGTATTAGAAATATATAGACTGTTAAGGCAGAAAGCTGGTAAACTACCAGCTTTGTGTTCAGGCTTCAGAGTATCCATCTGTAATTTGGGACTGTATAGAAGCAGCATGTCCAGATCTTGATCTTCTGGATGCAGAAAAACAACATATTTGGAGGGCATTACATGGAGCAAGGTGGTCTCAAAATACCACAGCCTCAGGCACATGAAGAGATAATCTGTAGCAACTAGATTTTTTCAAATGGCTGGTAGATTCCCGGATTAGTTAGTCCTCAATCCATCTTTTAGTTAATGAGTATCTTGGATGTAATATCCTCTAATACAATTATCAACTATTTTCTACTGATATAGATAAGCTTTCCTTACAAGGCATCAGGCCATTGGGTTAGTGCCCACAATGCATCAGAATGATCTCAATTGGTGGCATTGTGAGCAATTTAAGGCATATGATTTGATAGTCTAACATAAGCAATAATCTAGATCCTCATGCTTTCCATAGAATGTCATTAAGGCAGTTTCCATACCAATCTGGACTCTATCCTTGCTTGGCCAATAGGCAGAATTTTTGTACAAAGCATATTATCTCTACTCTAACCTCCATCTTTGTATCTAAATATATAACTCACCAGTGGACATTTCTCTGAATAGGAAAATACATATTCCAGATCAGAATTCATGTGATTTTATATACTGCATGGCATCAAATTAATAGAGCTACCCACGTCAACCAACTCAGGACAGATACAACAAAACAGCTAATACAAAACACCCAATTAAAAGCAAGGCTAGATAAAAATGAGAAAAGCAAACAAACAAACAAAAAAGTCCACCTGATAACAAAAAGGCACCAAAAACAATTTATTACTTGAGGGCCTGGGAAAAGAACCAGACAATTAAAACTAATTTGCTGGGCAATGAAGTTGGGGTCATGTGAACCTCTGGAGATATGTCATTCTAGACAGCAAGGGCCATGGCAGTAAGATATGATGCTATAATAATTTCTTATTTTAACCATATTTAGGTTAAACCAGATGTTGGCCAATTCAATTATTAAAAGATCTTGGCCAAGTTCTTATAAGGAGATGCCAATGGATTTCTCACACCTAAAATTGCTATACTATATACTTAGCTGTTCAGGTTTGTAAAATTGCCATTGCTGCTTGCCAGTCAAGTATATTTATAACCAAATGCAGACACTTTACCTTTTCTTCTTGATCGATGATGACCAATTGTTACTCCATATATCCTTGCATTTTGCGGCTTGCTCAGATTTCTGCACTCTGGCTGTATTAAGAATTGGTCTGTTTATATAAAAAGGAAAATCAATTTGAAAGAAGAGCAAACACTCTTTGCAACAGCACAACGAGTTGCTGAAAAGATAAGTAACAGGTCAAATTATGAAACTAACAAGAAATATCAATGAGGTCTACTGCAGTCTAAAGAAGAATGACTTTGAATTGCCACCCCATGCAGAATTTATTTTTTAAACTTGATTTTTGATTGAATTGTGTAGCACATTGTGTAGATGCTAATGTAAATCCGAAACACATTAAAAGGAACAGAATTCCCACTTCAAATTCAATAGAAATACATTTCAATCCCACTTCCCAACTTCAATAGAAATACAATTCAAAATTGTACTGACATATAAATATAAAATGTTTTTTAAAGTGTTCTCAAAATGCTATTTTTTAAAAAAATTACAGGATCTCATCTGTTTTTAATGGTAGCATCAAGTTTTTATAATTCCATTACAACTTCAGTCCATGGCAGCTGTAAGAAGGAAGCACTGATTTATAAGCAATTGCATTCTGATACACTCATTCAGAATGCTTTACGCTGGGCAGTTGTCCCTAGAACAGTTCTATGGACAGATGATCATATAAAGTAAAACAGTGAACCCTAATCTAAGTTAGCTGAATTAAATAGTACAAACTGCACAGCATAAAGCATTCAGAATTAATGTGTCAGAATGTAATTGCTTATAAATCAATGCTCCCTTCTTACAGCTACCCTGGAGTGAAGTTGTACTAGAATTGCAAAAACTTGATGCTGCCATTAAAAACAGATAATTCAACTTAAATATTTGGAAGAATAGTGAAAAGCAGAAAACTTTAGTAAAGCAAAGCAACTTCAGCTATCAACATCGTAGCCATTAATTTGGCCTAATAATTGGAGCAGTTATTAGGGCAAATTAATTTACCCCAAATCAATTATTATTTATAGTTAAAGCAAATACTTAGTCACTCTGCTTTGCTCTAATCTTTATGTCAGCTGATTCTTTTATCCTGCATTTTGGGTACCCAGCTAATTATATGTGGTACTGTGACCTTGGGTTCAAGTTTTTATTCTAAATATTTTTTTTCTTTCTCCAAATATTCCCATTTTCATTCTCTCTCCCTCTCCCCCTCTCCCTCCCTCTCTTCCTCCCTCCCTCCTTCTCTCTCTCTCTCATTTTCTCCCTCCCTCTTTCCCTCTAGATGGTAAGAGCCAAGGTGGCGCAGTGGTTAAATGCAGCACTGCAGGCTACTGCTAGATCAGCAGGTCAGCGGTTCAAATCTCACAGGCTCAGGGTTGACTCAGCCTTCCATCCTTCCGAGGTGGGTAAAATGAGGACCCAGATTGTTGGGGGCAATATGCTGACTCTCTGTAAACCGCTTAGAGAGGCCTGAAAGGCCTATGAAGCGGTATATAAGTCTACTGCTATTGTTTCAATTTATTTTACTACCGGTTACCTTGTGTGCTCGCCCGACACTTCTGCGCATGCGCAGAGGCATCTGGGCGGAGTTCCCTATGCTGCCACTATCGGTTCACCCAATCCGGGGGGAACTGGCAGAAACCCACCTCTGCTCCCTCTCTTCTTATGTCTCCCTCCCTCTCCCAATCTCTCCATTTATTAATTCATTCATTTTGCTCCTATAAAAAAGCCAAATAAATGGCAATTTAGTTATTCTACACAACAACAATATCATCAAATGAGCTCACATATTTTGGCTTGGGAACTCTGAGAGTTGAAGCTCGTGAAACTTAAAACTGCCAAGCTGAAAAACAACAACTTATGACATTTGTTGCCTCAGCAAGAGAGTTGCAATGCAGTAGGGAGAAACCGTTATAATGGCTGCAAGCACTGAGCCTCTGGCAGGCATTTAAATACAGCCTGACAAAAAGCTTCATACCCCAAGGATATTATGTTCTTTGAGGTGAAGGTAAAATGCAGCCCACATAGTCTGCCCATCCTCTTCAGCCCTTCCATAAGTGCTCTCTGTGTAGCCCAAAAGCCTCCATTAAATGGTTGGGATGCTTACAAGTGACGTTTCTGCAGTTTTTCTGCAACTCCAGAGAAATCTTTTCCTAATACGATTTGATAGCTTATTAGTAACATTGACTATCACTAAGTGTTGTATTTTTTCAATCTTGATGAATGTATTTTATTCTCCTTATGTACACTGAGAGCATATGCACCAAAGACAAATTCCTTGTGTGTCCAAGCACACTTGGCCAATAAAGAATTCTATTCTATTCTATTCTATTCATGGCTTTTCTAACCTTTGTGGAGTCCACTTCTGGCCACAGGAGGGCATAAGGAAAGGAAGCAAAGCAGAAGAATCAAAGCTATGTGTCCATTTAATTTTACAGTCCAAAGCAAGGAAATAGTGCACATTATCCTATGAAGCATCTTGGAATGTTCTGTTCAAAATTTGTCAAAGTGACATGTTTCCACTTCCTCCCAGGATTTGCAAGTAATACTGAATTCTGTAGGGGAGCTACGAAGATGGAACAAGCAAGGAAATTTACAAAGCTATTGGACGTAGGAATATCTCAAAGCCCTTTGAGAAATAAGAAGGCGGGCTGAATTGCACTCAACCTTTTACAATAACCAGCCATGAATTTTAGTTGAACATAGCCCAATATATTGATGTAATCTGTTTCATCCCTGAAAGCAGCTTCTTTTCCACCGTCCTTCAGCTAATACTATCTCTCACTTCCACTTGGATAAGAGTAGGCTCCTACAACATGCACATTACAGAAACTGGCATTGAAAAATAATGTTTGAATAATCACAGTAAGGAATGTTTGGCTTTTGATGTGGTCTAAAAGTCTGCCCTTGACGCGGTAAAAGTTGATAAAGAAGGCAGCTGTTGTGAATGTTTTCCCGAGGGCAGGACAAGAAGTGACAGATAGAAGATTATTAAAGTGAGATCCAACCCACAATTAAGGAGAAATTTCCTGACAGTGAGAACAATTAATCAGTAGAATAGTTTGCCTCCTGGGGTTGTGGGTGCTGCATCACTGGAGGTTTTTAAGAAGAGATTGGAAAGCCATTTGTCCTGAATAATATAGGGCCGTGATGGTGAACCTATGGCACACATAGCCCTCTCTGCTAGCATGCGCGCTGTTGCCCCAGATCAGATCTCCGTGGCGTTTCTTTTGTGAGCTTGTTTCCCTGCAAACGACGAAACAGAAGCTCACAAAAGAAAAAGGTCTTACCTCTTGCCGCGATGCCCCACCTCCCACCAGCCAGCTTGTCTTTGGGTCTCTGCTGCACATGCTTGCATGTCTGCACATGTGTGTGAGCATGCATGAGCATGTTCGTGCATGCAGTCACCTTTCAGTTTGGGCATGAATATGCACAGTTTGGGCACTCGGTGTCTAAAAGGTTTACCATCCACTGATATAGGGGCTCCAATCTCCCTTACAATTCTGTTATTCTATTATTCTGTTTCCTAATATTGTGACCACAGTTAAAAGCCAGGCAAAAGGATAGGAAAGCAACCATTAAGAGGTGGTAGTCAAATTTATAAAGTAATTAACACTATTCAGCCATGGTGTGAACCCTAATCACTGCATTACAAAATGAAACAGAGAGACAGTCAGACAGATTATAAAAATATCAGTGCTCTGGAGCATAAAATACCTTGGCAGAATAAAAGAGTAACAAACAAGCACAGAGGCACGAATAAAAACCTGTTTTCTCTTATAAGAGTTTTAGCAAAGTGAAATATATTTCTGTGTTTACCTTATTGTCCTAAGTCAGAAGGTAAATTATTTTGTATGGACTTAATTCAGTGTTTTAAGTTAGCCACTTCATTCACTAAGCAACTGAAGAAAAATTAAAGACATTGTAATTTATTACAACATGAAAATTCAGTGCTTCCTTCTTACTTTTTAAAAGGCTTTTTTCCTTTTTATCTCTGAAAATCTTCATTAATGGAAACTTGAAATAATATAACTATTATTTGATGTGAGTAGTATTTGTCCTTGTAATTTCTCAGAATTGCAATGGAAAGACCTACTCTAACCATTGCTTGTCCTTAGGGTAAGCACATTGAAATCAATATCTTAAATTGATTTAAGAGAGCAATAAGTAACTTGTCTCATTTCAGTATTTTCAGCAGACTTTCTCTAAACATAACTAAATTTGGGTCCATACCATAACTCCTTACAAAAAATCTAGTTATTTTAGTTATAGTTCTATAATTTCTTCTCAGACAGCTCCTGAATTGGACGCAGTTGATTGCTGGGTCAATTGGGATGTGCAGTCTATGGAATACACACACACACACACACACACACACACACACACACACAGAGGGACGGAGGGAGGGACGGAGGGAGGGAGAGCGAGCCTGCCTCGTAGCTCCCCATTTAGCAGCCTGAGTCCAACTTCAGAACTCACTACCAACATTTGAGAAATCCAAACTAAACTAAACCAATTATTGATGGCAGAATGCTATGTTGGGATAGTATATTTGTTTCTTTTGGTTGGTTTTTGCTTTATATGTTAATGCTCTAAATTTATTATCTATCTCAGCCTTCCTCCAAACTCAAAAATGTCTCCTTTCTTTATGTGGATCACTGGAGATGCACCTTGCAATTCTCTGCAGCTTATTGCACTTAGCCAAAAGTCCTGTACTTTTGCCCATGCCTAATCTAGATGAAATTTCCTCCTGCCCCCAGATTGTTCTGTGATACTCGCGCTATCACATCTACACTTCAATGTTTGCATCTACACTTGTACATCTTTTCTGGCATCTAGAGGCTGTTAGGATTTTTGCAACTTAAATATTGTTAATCTGACCCTATTTTCCCCCTCTCTAGATCTTATCTTGCAATTCTCTGGAATCAAGGAAAGGAGCACATCCTCTTAAGCAAAATAATTTCTATTGAACCATCCACTGCAGTGATTTAACATTTATAAATCTACCAGAAAAATGTGTGTATGAACAAGGTTGCATTCCATAGTAGTTAGTCATGTGCATGAGAAACAGGGGAGAGGAAGGGAGGGAGGGAGGGATGGGAAGGGAGGGAGGGAGAGAGAGAGAGAGAGAGAGAGAGAGAGAGAGAGAGAGAGAGAGAGAGAGAGAGGGAGAGAAATGTAGGGCTACCTACATCTGGACTACAAAAATCCAGACAATTGCTAGATAACAGTAAGGTGTTATACAGTTTTCTGTATCTCTTTGCTGACTTCTTGGAGCATCACAGTTTTTATCCGCTCAGATTGGTAGTAATGGTAAATATTTATATTACATTTTTATATTATATTTGTAAAGTATTGCAGTACAGCAAACAGTAAATGATCTTAAAATAGTATGTGTTTCCTATGTGACAACTGGTTTCATATAGGTACATCACACAACAGTGGAACAACTTTTTTCAGCCAGGGATACACTTGGAACATTGGGAGCAGATGTGAGCTGCTGCATTCCCAAAGAGTTACCATGGAAATCTGCCTATTTAAAATGGGAAGGGCCATCGAGCTGTCAAATCCAAGCTGCAAACTCTTACAACTTCTACATGGAAACATCAAAGAGTTAAGTTTTATGCATCTTCTTGTACCTCCCTGCAGGTATGTAACCCAGATCTAGTATCCTGAACAAAAACATGATTTTTTTCATGAGGTAAATGAACTTCTCAGGATGCACTGCCCTTCCGGGAGATGAAGAGAGATCTTTTAACAGTCCAAAGCATTCCAATAAATAATGGTAAGGACCAGTGGTTTGCATTATGATATTGATTGGCTGATTTGGTCGATATCCCACTTTTCACGAAAGAGCTCAAGGGTGCGTAGCGTTCTGTCCTCCTTTTCCTCTTACCACAGTAAGCCTATGAAGTGCCTTCAGCGGAAAGAAACCATCCATGGTTGAAGGGATGGACTTGAATTGAGGTGTCCTCATTCCTAGTGCTTACCTTTCACTTACCTGCTTCCTAAAATAATATATTTCTAAAATGCAGGTGGAATCAAAAACCTGATAAACATAAAAAGAAGGGCATTGGGGCTTACTGTTTTCCTACCTACCAACCTGTCAACTCAAAGAGATTTTCTGAAAGTAAATAACAGGAGCACTTTCTCCTGAAGTATCTCCCGCCCTTTTTTTTGTACAGAGAACAGAAAATAAACAGGAAGGTTGCTCTCTACTTCCCATTCTGTCTGTCATTTGGCCATTGCTTTGGCTGAACACAACAGTAATTATTTTTTAAAGCACAGTAATTGCAAACTTTATTCAACCATCATTTGATTTGAATTCCAACTTAGTTTTTTGTGCTGCATGTTTATTGTGTGAAGAGGCACTTGTAATGATATATTTCACTACTTCTCTGTGTGAATTTGAGGTTTATAGGAAGCTAGTGTAACAAATGATAGATGAGTACTAGTAAATATGATGCCAAAGAACTTAAATGTGAATTTCTTTTCTTTTGAAAAAAATTCATCTCAGGTACCTTTAAATGATGATGGTATTAATGATCACATGAAAGATGTTACTATGTGCATGTGCGTGTGCACACACACACACACACACACACACACACACAAACACAAACATCTAGTAACATATCAAAGAATGGACTGGAGAGAAAGTAAAAGATAAAATTCAAGAAACATATAAGCAAATAGAAATGGGTGCCAAGTAAATAATTTTCCAAACTACTTCAGAAATATTATTATTCTATTTGCTTAAATGTGGAACAAAATCAAGTCTAAGGCAAAGCATACCATTTTTCCAGTGTTACAAATTAGTGTGTTTTCTGCTGTTGTGTAAAGATAGCATTTACTGAAACTCTGGGGTTTACTTCAAGAGATCTAAAATATGTATTGTATATAGTCTCACACACTTACACAAAGTTTTAAAAGTGCTGCAAGTAGAGCATCAGACACATTTGCCCAACTATTAGTGTAATGAAAGATTATTGCACTAACAGACAACTGAACTTTAGGAAATAATTGGATCAGCCATCTAGAAGAAGGGTGAGGGGGGCATCTTAACTTCCTGTGGAATAATTCCTTACATTACTGCCCAACCCAAATTGACAAACCATTGAGAGCTTTTGAGATGCTCCACAGTCTCAGAGCAGGCTGATGTTAGCAGTAACCCTTTCTGGCTCCAGATAACGCAAAGATGTATTCCCAACACAGCAAGCCCCTCATCATCTTTACCTGTTGAGGGCCGCAGGAGCGACCAGATGGACATTCGCGGGGGACCGAAGGTACCTCATCACTCTGGGGGTGTAGTCCGTCGCAGCTCTGCCCTCCATGTCCCAGCCACTGGCAAGCAAGGAAGCAAGCAAGAGAGACCAAAGTTGTCTTAGAGTGTCCAGCGAAAGGAGAGGTCAGCAAGAGCCACAGCACGCCCTTACCCAGAGGCTAATCCTACTTGTAGTTCCTATGAGCTACATACACCCGGTCCGGGATAGCGGCTCCCCCATTTGCCATCTGCGCCCCCCTCCGAACTCTGTACCCCCCTTCCTAAGCCACGCCTCCCCGTGGAAGCTCCGGGTCTCCTCCACCTACCTTGCGCCCCCGGCGCCGTCGGCCGGGAGCCGCGCCAAGCACAGGAAGAGGAGCAGGCTACCGACCAGAGCAAGCAGGGCAAGGACCGCCCGCATCGTGCGCTCTCCCGCCTGCATCTGCCGGGGCAGCTGGACGGCGACGCGAGCTGAGAGCTCCAGAAAGAGCGAAGAACGGAGGATGAAGAAGCGACGGCGATGGCAGACCCCCGCTGCAGTGATGGCAACCCAGTCAGGTCGGCGGCAGTGGCGGTGGTGGATAAAGGAGGGGCCCGCCCAGGGTCGCCTCCTCCTCTTTGGCCGCGCCGCGCCGCCTCCCCAGCTGCTTCAACTCGCGAGGGGGGACCACCGCCAGTCCGGCTCGGTGGCACGAGATTCGCCTCCTTCTGGGTCTGACGAAGCCAAGGGGAGGGGAGCACCTTGTCCCAGCCCCGCGAGCATCCCTTGGCAGCCCGCCTCCATTTCTCTCCCCCGCGGTCTCTCGCTCGCTCTTCTCCTCTCGACACCAGCGCCTGGAGGGATGGAAACGGAATTGGGGGTTGGAGGTGGAGGGAGGGTGGCGCGGGGAGGAGATGGTGGGAGTAATCGGGCGTCGTGAAAGAGAAGAGCGGAGCGAAACCAAAATATTTGCCAGCACCCATTTTTCAGCAGCAACTGGTGTAAACCGACAGAAAAAGGGTGCCACTGAGCATGTAAGGATTCATAAAGCTTTAGGGGCAATAACTGGGTTTTAATCTTCTCCTGAGACCCAAGCAAGCATAGTGTGAAAAAGCCACCAGAGCCCTTTCTGTATTTAATGATAGTGTCCCGGGAGTTAAGGTTTCAACCCAAGCTTTGGGAGGTTTACCAGGTTTAACAGATTAACAGAGTTGGAAGAGATCTTGTAAATCAACTAGTCCTGCTCAAGCAGGAGACCCTACACCATTTCTGGCAGATGAAATCCAGTCTCTTCTTGAAAGCTTCCAGTGATGAAGCTCCCATAACTTGTAAAACCTTCTAGGTAGGAAATTTCTGAGATTTAAACTGTGGGCATCCATCCAAAGCTACTACTAGAGTGGAGGAATGCCAAGCCCTCCCATGAGACCAATGTTTTGCTCACTTTTCCTTTATAGATAATAGTGAGAAAAGGCAAACAGAAGAGGGTCAGCTGTGCCCCTCCTCATGTCTTCTCACTAGTTACTTTTGTTATCAACAATGTATTGACACAACCATCTTGAGAAGATCACTTCTATATCTAGCACATGTGCAGTTGCAACATGCTAAATGTTATTTTTACTTTGAGGTTTTAAAAAAATATTTATTCATCATATAAACTTAGAACTTAGTCATGGATCAGTACAAACAAACTCATTGGCTGCATTCACTGCATTAACCTGCTTAATGAATGAATATATTTTTTGAATCCATAGCTTGTGAAGTATCAGGCTGTTATCCCCATCATCAGGCCACACGTCCTGTTTTTGCTTTTTCCAAGGCTTCCCTGAATAGCTGTTTGTGGAAAGGAGCTGAGAAGAAAATCCTGGACTGGAAGAATGTATAGTCTAATTCAGCATCACATTGTCTTCATCCTTTGTCTTTTAAACATGGAATAGGAAATATTTTTATTGCGGGAGAGCTATCTTCCTTTCTGAACCACCTGCAGGGACCCAAATGTAGTGGGTGGGTAAGGGTAAGAGGTAGGTTGCTCCCAGTTCAGCCCGGTTCGGCCGAACTGGTAATGGAATTCAGGCCTGGATCGCAGAACCAGCAGTGACCCAGACCTGCCACACCCCCAAACTGGTTCCCTTGCCTCCTCTGGGCCACTGCCATTTTGGTTTTTAGTGATTGTGCATGCGCAGTTCACTGTAAATTGTTCTGCGCAAAGAACAATTTACATTGAACAGTACACATGCACATAGCACGCATGTGGCACAGACAGGGGTTGCAAACCGGTAGTAAAACCGGCAACAACCCACCCATGGTAAGGATCTCTATAGGGCATGTGCCTAAGGCATGAAGGAAGCATGAAAACTGGCTGGATGTCTTCAGGCCAATCACTTTTCTTTCAGCCCAGGTCACCCCACAAGTTTATTATTGTGGGGAGAATAGGAGGAGGAAAGAGTATTGTGTATGTTTGTCGTCTTGAGTTGTACATGAAAATAAGGTGGCATAGAAATCTGAAAAAAGATATACCAGACAAATAATAGGCTGGACAAAACCAAATAAATATATTTGTTTTCTGCCATCTTCTTATTCACTGACTCTTTTTGTCACTTCTCTTTGATTCTCTGTTTCTCACTGTTTCCTGCCCCGCCCCACCCCCCACCCCCATATTCAGAAGACTACCAGAGATTATCCTTCTAAAGGTCTAAATTGTGTGGAGGGCACATGAAATAGGGAGGGCACATTGAAGATGGCCCATGCCCAACTCTAATATTTACTCATCCCTTTAATCTTAATAAAGAGTCATATGTTTACTCTTGGATTTGGCCCTTGATCATCAGGATTTCCTCACTGGATTTGTCATGGAGATTGGACTACCAAATAACTATTCTTTGTCTTTTGCTTATTGTTTGAACTGATCTGAAATTTGCTAGCATAGGAAGGTTAATCTCCATAAATCTCAGTGAGGTAGACAAGTCAAGAGACTTTGTGCAAAGCTTCTCTTTAAATTTCAATGCTTTGTTTTTACAGAAATGTCCTTCAGGGAATTCTGTTTGGAAGTTACAGCCAGCCTAGTATAGTTTGTTGTCTATCATCCACCAACATAGCAAGACTTTTCCTTCAATAATTGTATTAAATATTGTATTACGCAAGCAAAACTTCTACAGATACAAAATGGCAAGCCTTTTTCGCTTATGGATAATTTAAAGAAACTCATAGAAGATAATTGAATTGGCTAAAAAAAAGAGAAAACAAAACCAGCTTTCTGAATCCCTGTGGGGCTTCCAAAAGCTGTTTTGCCTCAGATAGATGTTGACAGAAACATGTCATATATGCAGGCACATCTAATACGAGGTTATTAGTGTCAGATTTTTGTCTTCCTGGGGATTTTGCACACCACAAGATATAAAGATAGTCACTTGATATGCAAAATGCTTGTGTGCCTATGTCAGTGTAATTTTTACAGTAAGAGACATTGGGAAGGAACAAGTTCTTATACTTGAACTCTAAAAAAGAGGGAATCATATTCCAGTTAACTCAACTCTTTTTATTTCTGTCCTTCAGAGATGCTGTTTCAATGCATGAAGAGGCTTTTGATGCTCTGAAGAACATTTATTTTTAGCGTGCCATAAATTTGGTACCTGTTCTCCCTCCACTTCCACCCCCCTCCCAAAAAATTGTACCACCAATTGTATCAAAGTGTTGAGTCAATATTTTTGTGTTCAAGAGGGTGAACTTCTTTATGATCTGTTTCATAATGAAATGTGTTCATACCACTGAACTTAAGAACACTTAAATGTACTTCAAAATAAATTTTTCTTAAGTGCGGGCAGTACTGAACATCTAAAAAGTGAAAAATTCTTTTCATGACAAATTAGAGGACATCCAACAAAGCAGAAATGAAGGCAAGGATGACACTCAGATAGGGTAAAAACTCTACAGAATTAAACCATTCCCTAATTACTGTGTCTTCTCCAGTGGTCAGCCAGATGTTTCTTGTAAATTTGTAAACAGGAACTGTAATTGTTAGTCAACAGCTGTCCCCTAATGTCTGCTGTCAGCATTTGGGTTTCAGAGATTTATCTTCTCTAAACATAAGTGTTTCACTTAGGTAACTACATGACTACATGATTTCCAATCTGGACCCACTTGAATGTTTCTTTCATGCTTGCTAACATGCAAATTAAGGTAATAATGTTTAATGGTAGTTCAAGTCAAGAGCACAGAATACTGTACGAGCATTTGAATATGCTAAGTCACTTTATGCAAAGCAAAAGAAAAGGGGAAGGAAGGAAACTCAGATCACATTCAGACAAAACATGAAATGGACCCAAGGATTGACAGAGCATGTGATTCATTATGTTTCTTCCTGTCATCCCCCGGGCCTTGCCTACAGCCACTGCCAGTTTGCTGCAGACTTTTCACACTATCTGTCTAGGATCAGTTCCTTTTCCATTGCTTCCTCTATCATCTGCCATGGCTCCTTCATGCTGCCATACCAAAAGAAAATATCTGAAATAAAGCATGTGTTATTTGTGGCTTTTTTCCTCCTCCATCGCCTCCCTGTTTGTTTAAACATCTATGCAACCTTGGGTGATTTTGAATAGCTGTGCAGGATAAACATGTTGATACTAGGGTCACCATGATATTTTAAAGCTGTAAAATATTTCAGAGAAGTATCCCAGCAGGAGATAGCAGGATATATAGTCTAAACTGGAGATGGGGAAGAGCCAAGTTAGTTTATGAACAGAGTCTGGTAGTACATTCAAGATTAAGTTCATTAGGATTTAAGCTGTTCTCAAAATCTTATGCTCTAATAAATTTGATTAGTCTTGAAAGTGCTACCAAGCTCCATGTTTATTAATTTTTTGTAGTTTTGCCAAGAAATGTACAAGAAAGTGTTCATGTATTTATCAGGTGCTCAGCTTGAGTCTTATCTCTCAAGTTAATAAGAGAAGAAGCTTTTGGAAAAGAGCTTAGTAAATCCTAAACAATCAAGAAATGTGCAGGGCCTTCGGCTTATTGTCAGAACAGACAGTGTAAAGACTGTTCCCATCACAAGATGAGATGTAGTCACAATGTCAATCAGAATCTTTTTTTTAAAAGAACATTTTTAAAATCATTTTGCTTGGTTACCGTCATTCTTAAGAAGCAGTCATACAGAACCGAAATGGTTTGCATGTTATTGAATTAACCACTTTGTCTTAATATATATTTGAGCTTCTTTTTTATGGCCAAAACAACCTTGGTTTTTCATCCTCCAGGTTGGTTATAATCAAGGAGAGTTAGAATAAATTTCTCTATGTTTATCTATCCAAGCAAAAGGGGACTTGTTTGCAACAAAAAGGAAAGTTGCAAACAAGTCCCCTTTTGCAAAATTCCAGGGGTTTTAGCGGGAATCCAGACAAGCAAGACTAATAAAATGATAAAGGTAGGGGGTGCCTGTAGGGTGTATATCTGTACATCAGTGATGGGTTTCAAATTTTTTTAGAACCTCTTCTGTAGGTGTGGCCTGGTTTGTGGGAGTGGCTTGCCAGCCATGTGACTGGGTGGGAGTGGCTTGCTGGCCATGTGACTGGGTGGCAGTGGCTTGCCAGCCATGTGACTGGGTGGGAGTGGCTTGCTGGCCATGTGACTGGGTGGGAGTGGCTTGCCAGCCATGTGACTGGGTGGGCGTGGCCAACTTGTAAAATGTGGTGAAACTC